CACCTTCAGCACATTACCGGAAATTACCGTGAAGATTCATCACCGATCCACAAACAGCCCTGTGCAAACGAAGCACCAGAGCATCCTGGACCTCTCGAGTGGAAGTCATATAGTTGAGCAATCCATGTACAGCACCTTGGAATTGGTCCGAACCAACAGGTCTCCGCACTGCCACTCGAACGCTTTGCCACAGTCTGTCAAAGGTTTCCAGAAGGCACACACATCGGGATCACGCCACGAGCTGGATTGCTTCTCTGAGATCCACACAATGTCGCCATGAAGAACTTGGGCCTGGGACAAAGCAATGACATTCCGACTAACTTTCCTCTTGCGGTGTAGAAGAGCTCGAAATTTTGGATCAGAGGCACGTTCTCGGGAATACACCTGACCTTTCGGAAGCTGAAACCAAGCCAACTGAGGTTGAAGCTCGCGAAGTTGTTGAAGTGAGCGAAGACATCCACCTTGCGTGCCAAGATCATATCCCTGAGACTTCAGTTTTGAGATTTCTGGAATCCAGTATTGGCGCAACTGCTGAAGAAGAGGAGACCCCAACTCGCTGCCAATACTGGTAGCGGAGCGCGATCCAGCGCTTCCTGCCGTGGTTGCTGCCAATCTGCTGTGGTTCCTTACATTCGAGGTCTCCTCGAATCTGCGGCGGTGGAGTTTTCCCTACGAGCCCGGAGTCTCTCCAGGCTTCTTCCTTTTGCGTCCGCTGCATGGGGAAGGATTATGCCTCGACTTTGTCCCAGTGCAGCTGGGATGGAGACCCAGCTTGGTGGTCAGATTTTGTGAGAAGGGTGCGACTGTTGTATGAGAGGACGACGCGTCGGAAACGGCGCCAGATTCGACCTTCCATTGTGTCGCAGCTCAAGGACAAGGCTTGGAATGTCACCCAGGAGATCGACCACCACAAGCTGACGTGACGAGAAGGCGCTGTGTACCTCCTGGAGTTTATAGCAGGGAGAGACTTAGGAGATCTCCGGTTCCGGATATCGGCATCTGGCTGGAGGACCTTATGATCAAGCTCAGGCGCCACCCGGGACTCCGATGAGCTCTTGGGCCACTCAGGTTCGCCAAACCTACAAGAGGGTTCAGATTGCTTTGCATCGTGCCAGGCTTGAGAGAAAGGGAATGCAGTTGGAAGCCGCTCACCGACCTTCATCCTCGCCATCTTCGCCAAGCAGCGTTGCCCCACCAGACGGGGCAGTGAGCCATTCAGGCCACTCAAGAAGAGCCCCATGCGGAATCCGCGATTCCCCAGGCCCCTGATGCCACCGAGGAACCTTCTGCAGAGGTCGATGATGATGATTTCCCTGACTTTGATGAGGGTGTGGAACCCGGCACCAGTTGGCGGCTTCGTAAGAAGAAAGGTGGATCAGATGATGATGACGCAGATGATAGCGCCCAAGCCTTGAAGGACCTTGAGGTTTAGGATCGCTATGAAGAAGGCTTGGAGGAAGTGTTGCCAGCAGAAGTGCTGGGATGGCTTTTGCTCAGGTGCAAACCTTCCAGCATCCGCTCGTTTCAGTATCCAGGCGGCGGCTGGAAACAGCCTCATCTTCAAGGACGTCGAGCGTGCGATGAGGGCGATGGAAGATGAACTCATGGTTCACGATGAGGCACGCCGCTCAGCCCAGCCTCGTCGGCGGTCCTTTTGGGTTGAGGATGAAGATGAGTGGAGCCTTGTTAAACGGCTCCCGACGATGAGGTCAATGAGCTCCTCTACAGTGAAATTCACTACGTGGGTGCTCGCTTGCTTCAGGATGTCTACGTAGTCTACTTCCACCTTGAGCCCGAACATTCCTTGTATCCTGAAGCCCGACAAGCTGTGAAAGCCCGGAATCTTTCTAGGGGATTTTACCCTTTCAACCCGAGTATCAAGGGCAAGCCTCGCTTCAAGGGCAAAGGTAAGGGCAAGGGCAAGAGCAAAATGTCATCCTCCTCATCCCGTGCCCCTATACAGTGCCTGTTCTTGCGGCGACTGGTGATGTATTTGCTCGCTCCAAGGACCATAGCCGGAGATGGTGCCCAAAGTGGGCGAGTGGTGGCAAGGGCTGTAGGAAAGGAAAGTCCGGGCGCTCCTTCCTCGCCGAGAGCATCTTCATGATCCAGGACATCAGTCACGAGATTCTGGACAACGTCTCAGGTTGCCAGTCGGTGAATGACTTCGGTGAGCAAGGTGAGAACGTGACTTCGGCAACATGGGTCAGGACCGACTTTCTACATGTTTGGGACTTCAGATTTTCTCATGAGCCCCAGAGCCTTCAGGAAGATGTGAGTGCTGCTCTTGTGATCACGTCCTCGGCAGATGCTTTTGCCTCGGGTGCCGGTGAGCCGCATCCTCGCGGCCATGCGGTTGTGGACTCAGGTGCGACGGAGACTGTCGGATCTCTTCCGGCAATAGAGGACCTCCTGCAGTTTCGGTTCGAGTTGCATGGGACAGTTGATCAGTTTCGAGTTTCTGATGTTCCGGCTCGACGATTCTGCTTCGGGAATGGGGCTACGGGCTTTTCGCTCAGCCACCTGCTCATTCCGCAAGAGCTCGGGGATCAGGAGTCTTCGTGGAATGAAAACCGTGATCGACTTTGAAATTGAAAAGGACGTGGCAGTTTTCGCCTCCCTCAATCCGTATGTTGGCATTCCTTTGCCTAGAAGTGCCTCCAAGCCGAAGGCAGAGCCGGCGCCGGAGTTGGATTGGGATCGCGGCAGACGAGAGGGATGTGCGTCTGAGGGGGCCCCCGTGCTTCAGCAAGCACGACGGTGTCCCGAGCCAATCGGCATGCCGCATGGACCTTCTGCCAGCGAGGCGGGATTCGCATGAGCTACATTCCTCGTCAAGGAAAATCCGCTTTGCGCAGTGCGGGACCCTTGATCCAGGATGTCAAGCAGGTTGTGGAGGAGACGGCGAAGACCGAGGAGCTGGGCTACAATCCACGCCTGAAGGACACTGCGATCTGCGATTGGTCTGCAGGCAGCGGAAAACAGTGCGATGAGGCAGCTCGAGCGCACCAGGTTGCAGAAGGCCAAGGTATTGCCGGATGTCCCGAAAGAGATCCTCCCCAAGGAGAACCCGACAACTCCTACGGCCAAGACGGCGGGACGGATGCTAAGCAACAATCCCCCGCCCAGCACGGAGGGCTCAGTGATCGTGATCGAGGGCCCGGAGAACAATCCGGATGGGATGGCAGCGAATCCGGGAAACAAGCGACATCAGGCGGTGTCGGCGGAACAGCAGGAGTACGGGAAACGCAGTCAGAGTTCGCCATGATGGGTGAGCTGCACGAGGAGCTGTCCGACGTGGAGATGTACGCATCACCCCTGCTAGCATCCCAGTCCTTTTTTCTTATCACCGATGTGAAGAGTTTCTGATGCGGCTTGCGGCCGTCCCAGGGGCTTTGAGTTTCAGCCCGCGACAGGTTTTGGAATCCGGGAACGGGCAATGCTACAATGCCTATGGTTTGTTTTCACATGGCAACATGTCTGGCATCACAAAGAAAACGTTCCAGCTGCCTAAGACTTGCATGTACTTGAACCACTTCGGCAAGTTCCAGCTTAGCGGCACACGTGCAACGTGGACTAGCTTCACTCTCAGTGTGAATCTACCTGTTCGAGTTCATCGTGATGCACGTAATTGCCCCACGAGCTCAAATTACACTTGCAGCTTTGGACAATACACTGGTGGCCAGTTGTGCTGTGAGTTGACTGAAAACGCCAATTCGAGTGCTGGCGCCATCCGGTGGCATAGCAAACCGAACGGCCAGCGTGTGGCAGGCCGCTCTCACGATACCCGGCACCGGTTCCTTGAGTTCAACCAAAGCTCTTTCATGCAACAGATCGCTGGACAGGTTTTCGGATCTCTTTGACCTTCTACACTTCCCGGTTGATTTCTCAATCCACTTCGACTCGGAGATATTGCCTCAGGAAGTACGGCTTCCCCATTCCGAGGTCTTTGCCTCCAGCTCCTGACTTCAGTGTGGACGAGGCTCCAACTCATGAAGGAGTCAATCATCATGATGACGGGATCTCTGTTCTTTTGACTCAGGGTGAACGGAGTCGACTTCAAGACTCTTGTCAAGAGGGATCAGTTGATAGGTTGTCATGGCCGAGAAGATCTTCCGGTGCAGGTCATGGATTTTGGAGGTCCTGCTGAGAGTTCTCTTTGTCTGCTTTTGGAGCAGCAAGGCGGTCGTGGGCGTGTGTAAGCGAACACCTTTTCTTCGGTTGGTGCACAGGTGTCTAAGACAGCAGTCAGCGCCTTCAGCCGCACAAGGAGCGAGACTATGGCTCGCGCTCGGAAGCCTTCTAGGAAGGCCCACAAAGGAGTCACACCGTAGCTGAAAGTCTACAAAGACTGGGCCAAAGAAGCTTCTGGAAAGCTCAGCAGCCATATCAAGAACGTCTGAACGTGCAAGCACTCGAACGTGAAAGGCATTGCTTCAAAGGACTTCTCCTCTGACAAACAAGGACAGCTCTTCTTTTGAAAATGCCTGTAGTGCTCAGCAACGTATGGTCGCAGGATGCTGTCTTGTCGGCGGGCTCGAATGCGGCATCCATGGCTATGAAAAGCCAGCTCCATTCGCGGCATCATGCAAACAGGTATGCGCCGAGTGATAAGCATAGCCAGCTGTGACATGTATTGTCGACGCGTTTGGTCCTGCGTGCTGGAGTGTGTTGCCTTCGTGTGTGATTTTTCATATGGTGCGAGGATCTCTTGGTTTAGTGTGTCGTTCCTATTTTGGTGGCAAAACTTCTTCCTTGGTTGCTGACTCGGGCTGGTTCCGAGGTGCCTCGATGTCGTGGCCCTTTCCTGTCGCCGGTGTGCGCCCTGATTCTGATGTCGCTGCTGTGCCGTCCTCCGCCGACTGTTTGGAGCTTGCTTCGCAAATGTCGAATTCTGTCATACTGCCGAAGCACGGTGCAGTGTGATTCGAAACGGCCACAGCTGTCCCATGTCCCAGCATAAACTCAATCACACAATGTGCTGCTTTGCTTCGAGAGACATAGGCCTTGGTGAGACCAATATTCTGCACCAGCCAGGAATTCCACTCGGTTACCCTCATGTCTTGATTGACCTGCCGCGGAAGCCGCTGCATCACAGGTCTTGCATGTCTCCCCCTACTATCACGCCAAGAACAGCAGTCCGCTCTGTATGCTCGGTTTGCCGACGAGAAGAGCACGCAACACTGTGAAGTCGTAAGAAGCATTCGTTCATAAAGCGGCCTCGAATATTGGCACAGGAGCAGTATCGACGAGCTGCGTCAGACCAGCAGCTAATGCTTGGGCTTCTTGCCTCGCACGAATTGAAAAGTTTTCGGCTGTGCGATCGAACCTATGACGATGAGGCTGTGCAAAGGCTACAGATCCACAAACCCCCCTGCCTTTGCAGCATCAGCTCCGTGACATCCTTCGCGGAAGCCCAGATCACATGACAAGCCGTGCAAAGATGCAGAGAGCAGCCCATTCAGAACTCCGCCGAATGTCCTGACCGATGCAGACTGCTCCGCATATCTCTCCATGTCTATCTCGAAGTGGCCTGGCACCTGCGGCTATGTCACCCTGTCGAGCACTGCCACCACAGTCGGAGACGTCGGAGACACTTCATGTACAACGGGCAATGGTGGGTCCTGGTTGGCTGCACTTGCTACTAGAGTTTTCGTATTGTGCAAAGCAGCTCGCGGCGATGATTACGAAGTCTTGTGCTTCATCCTGCAGCGGTGCAGCGGCAAACGTCATTCAGTGCACAAGCCACACCATCTCGGGAATCACGGCCTCCATCTTCGAGAAATGGAACTGTGCAATGCCGGTAGGATCGTCTGCAATAGCCCCCGTGAGAAGCTCCACGGCCTCAGATTTCACCCAGGCCACATCAGCCATTCTCTGGAGCAGCCCGCCACTCCCTGACTCCGAAGACTGTTGTGTCGAGCTGAGAGACAGGGATGCTGATCCATGAAAACGAACCGTCTCAAGGCAAATTGAAGCCACAGGAGCGAAGTGCTGCCATTGACTTTCTTTGCCTTCGGCGAAGAGCTCTGTCAGAGTCTTGCCCCTCAGTACACTGTTGACACACCGACTGACACGTTGCACAGGTTCTGCTTGTAGCTCGGACGCCTTGCCAACTCCGGTGTCACCCCCGTCAACTCCGAGATGCAGCCGTTCCACTCATCGATCTGGGTCGTTCCCATCTTGAAGGCGTCAGACTACACAGCTTCTAAGTTCTGTGCCTTGAGGCTCGTGGTCACAGAGAAGATTGGCACGCTGGCCTTGTGGCGAGGGCGACTCGCAGCCACAGACACAGTAAAGCACTACCAAGAGAAAGCTCCACATGCACAAGAGTCAACAGGCCTCCCGGATCATCCGTTTCAGGTCTGCTGCCGCTGACACTGCGAAATCACGTAGCGAAGCTGCCTTCGGAAGGCAGGGCTGCTTTTGCCGGCCTACACACGACATCGTGACAGGAATTGCACTGGTCGAATCACTCTGCTTGTGGAAATCTGATGGCCGATCTTCTACCCTCAGCATGCTGCCTGCATGCGTTTGAGGAGGGGAGCAACAGCAGGGCTTCGAGGAAGGGTGAAGGCCCTGGTTGAAGTGCAGAGGGAACTTAAAGCAGGAGAGGTCCCCGGGAACTGCAAGAGGGGTGGGAGAAATCAGCGGGCCGACGCAACGGCCGACCCCAAATAACGTTCTGACTTTCTCACAGGCTTTCGGCGGCAGCCTGACCCAGCTGGTAGTGGCCTGATCAATTGCCCGAGTTTGACAGGTAACCATAGCTCAGACCACCCGAAGGCTGGCGGCAAGACGCAAAGGATGGATGGTGCCGGCCCTGCGAGGCCCCAGGAGCCCAGCACTGGGGACTGCGAACCCTCCGCCCTCCGTCGTGAGCAGCAGTGTCCCTGTAAAGCTGCAGTGTCGCGGACTTCAGCAAATTGAGGCGCTGGGGCGCATCCGATGCAAGACCGATCGGCCCACCGGTTGCTAGCCAGGCGAACGTCGTTTACAAGGAGGTCGTTTTGTGGCTGCCGGGGTTGCAAAAAGGCTAAAGTTGCGGCTAAAGTCCAAGCAAAAGGCGGCGGCTTGGCAAATTGGAAGAAGAAGGCCGGACCCTGCACAGCGGCGCGGGCAGAGAAGGCAGGTGCAGAGTGCGGAGGCAAGGCCGAAGTACCTTCCGTACAAGCAAGGAACCGGTTTTCAGCCGGCAGACCCGAATGACCCGAAGACTTTCTGAGTTTTCCAATGACGTGTATGCTGTCGTTGCCAAAGTCTCAATGACCCCTGCAGCCCAGTGGCCGACTCGAAATCCTGAGCAAAGCCTCGCTGCAGTGAGGCCGGCTTTTGCTGCACATGCCCGGCATCCATGGAAAGGTTCACTGGCTTAATGGGCCTCAGAGGCCTGGGCCTAGGCGGCATGCGAGGCACAAAAGAGGCCAACATGGCCGGTCCGGTGGAAGGTCACCGAGGGGGACGCCAGGTTTGCGACCTGACCCTCATGGGGGAGACGACCGAACCACAATGAAAGCTCCAGTCCGCGCGACAATACGACCTGCAAAACTAAAGCGCTTTCAACGCCATTTAATCCGCCGAGGCCGAAGGCCTCTGGCGTTTTGATGTTTTACCCTGTAACCCTCCACCTAATCCTCCTTCCTGCACCCCAAACACAACCCGCCACCCGTTTTTGGGCCCCCTTGCCCGGCTTCCGTCCTGTCACCCGTGATTTGCACAATTTCCCATCTCCCCCCCTTTTCCCCCTCAATTTGTTCCTACCATTGCCCCTCTTCCCCCCTTCCCCCGAGATCGGCCCCCCCTCGCGCCCTCCCGCCCCCCTTTCTCCCTTCCCGACTTTTCTCCACCTACCCCCTCCTTTTTCCACCTTCCCAAGCCCCCCCTCCTTCCACTTTCTCCCCCTCCTTCTGCCCCACTTCCTTCCTCTCTTTCCCCATCTTTTGCCACTTTTCCATCTTCCCGCTGCTTCCATCTCCCACCCTGCCTTCCTGTCCTTCGCTCGCGTGTTTTTCCATTGCCCTTCTCCTTCCGTTCTCCTTTCCCCTTCCTGTTCCCCCTCCCTCCATCGCCCCTCCACGCCTTCCTTTCCCTCCACTTGTGTGCCTGCTGCTGCTGCTGACGGTGCGCCGTTGCTGGCACTACTGGAGCCGCCAGCCGAGGCGGGCTGCCTAGCGTTAGAATTAAAACATCACGATCACTTCTAAATTCAAGAGGTGCCCCGGTGCCCTCCCTCAGCTTAGGCCTCGGACATCTGCAGCAACAGTGTGTGTTAGAGACACGGCCCACCCTCCTTTGGACCATCTATCTTCTGTTGGCCATGCCATGCCATGCCATGCCATGCCATGCCCATCGGATCAAGTGAAAGTTCGCAGCATTTGCCAAGAGTTGATTTCAGCACAACAACAACAACAAGAACAGGAACAGGAACAGGAACAGGAGGCCATGTGCAGTTTCGGCATGCATTGATCTCGAATAACGACAAGAGTGAGCTAGGATTTGCATCCCCTGGCCACGAATCCACGGCACCATTTGTGCCAACATCCAAGTAAGGCTTCATGAAGTCCGCTTTGTGCCCTCCTCCATGTGTTACAACTTAGGCCTGCAACACCTCGTCTGTGCGCCGGTAGGCCAGGATGATGACAGAGTGGGTCATCTTTGCCAGAATGTCGGAATAGGTGTAAGCTGCCTTCCACGGGGCTGTTTTGGACGTCCGACAGCGTGGTACTGATGAATTAGCTCCCCCGAAGCCGCTGTCGCCGAAGCCTGCTCCGAAGCACTCGAGATAAGACCGAAGACAGCCTGTAGAGAGTGCAGACAAGGTGTGAGTTCCACGCTAACCACATGGCCGCACTGGCACTGATTCTGCTTGCTGCTGCGTTTCGAAAAGATATATGAACCCGTAGAAGCCAAAGATCAGCACCTGTCGATAGCTCAGGCGGACTTTCAGGAAAAATCTTTGTTTCGTAGTCGTAATCCCATTACCCCGACATGCCTGCTGATTCGCAACAGATGCCTTGAACCCCCCAGCCACCTGCCCCGCGAGCAGAAGGTCAGTCCAGCTGGGCACCTCAGGGCCCGAATCAAAACCAACACAGCCTTCACCGCAAAGCTGCCCCGCTCATGAAAGGTAAATGTTCCACACACACCTTCACTTTGACTGCACATTTCACCGTCGTGACCAAATGGCCAGTTCCAGAAAAGTCAAACCAAACTGCGATCACTGCCGGAAACCATGCCGAAGAGGCGTTCAGCTGCCGGTGCTGGCAGAAAAGCATGATCTGTTCCGTCGATGCCACGAAATATGCAGAGAATGCAACTGCTATAAGGACCTCAGACCGTGCCAGGACTCGAAAGCACAACATGATGCTTGCATGTTGCTCGAATCTTGCTTGCGATGTGTGAGATACCCTGTTGCGGATGAGCCACCCACCTTGCAAAGTGGCTCTGCACAACCAGAGCAAGCCTTCCAGGGCCACAGGCCGCTAGTTCCTACATGGAACCTCCGACCCTGAACCCAGCCCACCAAGAGGCCACGATGTACATGGACGTCAACCTAGCCGATGCTGCCAACGGCATCTGTCTCAAGGCCTCCCAGGAGTCACGAGTTCGTGAGAGCCATACTAGTAGCAATCACAAGCAGCTGCCTTGTTTTGCTGTGCTAATTCTCATCTATCTAACCGTTGCGAATGCCACTGTAGTTTGTCTTGCTATGCTCTTCCTGTTGTCGCAGTAGTTTACTGCCGTGCTCTGGCTACTCTGCTTGTCTGCAAGCTCTGAAGGCTTAATATCGCCCGGGTCGTGGGCAACTGTCTCGACGTTAGGTGATCGCGGACAGGTTGCCGAAAGCCGCTCCTTCTGACCTGGGGCACCAAGCGAGCCTGCTTGCAGAAGCCTAAAGAACGGTGTTCCGAGAATTGGAAGAAAGCAATAGCTGAATGATCCAACCGATCGCTGCGAGTCTTTGTTGGCCTCGATTGTAACCAAGGCGGTGTCCCGAAGTCCTGCAAGTGCGCAGCATCCAAGCTGTCGTGATTCGAGTCAGCTGTTGATCTGAGTGAGACCAACGCCAGTCCATCTCGCAATCGACACCACGACATTTCCTGCCCTTGGTTCGGTCTGCAGCAGTGGGAAAAATGACATTAGGCTAGGCATTTAGGGTGGGGTGACAAATTCCCGAAGCAGTGCCAAATCAATCCCGAGTTGCTCGCCACAGTGCCAAGCTTCCGATGCTGGCTACTTTGCAGCCAGGTCTCGAAAGCCTCAGACAGGTCCCAGGAACACTGCATGGGACTCGCATATTATGCATTTCTGCTGGCATACGCAGCCTGAGCGATGAAATCTCTGCTTCGCAATTATCTACATGGCTTGTACCAAGCACCAACAAAACTGGCTGCTACAGAGTCACTGCATCGCTCGCACTGACTGAACCACGAGGATTTCCAGACACCTTGTAGCTCATCGTACGAGCGCAATAGACATTGTCACATTACATCGAAGCCAAGTCATGATCTGAACGCATACGCTGGTTCTGACCCCAGTGAAATGATGGAAGCAAATCTGCCCAAAGACACGTGTATGTACGACGCTGTTGCGTTCCATGGCTACAGCACTGCAGCAGTCGTGCATTTCGCTCTTGCCCAAGGCCTGGACTTCGACCGCTGGAAGGGGAAAAAATACGATCTGTTCTTGCATACTCGTAGCGGCACCCGCTCGTCCCCAACCATTCTTTGACTTGTTGCAGAGATCGCTACTCGATTAGTCTGTTTATGTTTTGTTTATGGAAACGGAGTGCACCCAAGGAACCATCATGAGAATGGGGACGTTGAAGCACCACTGCAGATAGCGAATAGTATACCTGGTTGCCGGATGTGCAAAAGCGCCACGAGCTATCACACTATGAGGTTGTCAAGAAGCCGTTTGACTGCTTCAAGATCAGTGCTAAGGCCCCCTGTCCGCCTCAGATTCCTGCAAGTCCAAGGCGCACCGGCCGAGGCCCTCCGATGCAGAGCTCGTCCGTGTGTACCATCATGTCGCCAAACGCATGCATGATGAAATAGGATATCCTTACTTGCTGCGGTTTCAGCAATCTCTCGAAGCAGCTCGGGAATGAACAAGCAAGAATAGACGTCACCCGCAATGGATTCGCTGGAAAAACCCCTGACACGATATGGGTAAGGCATGGTAAGGCCACAGCACGCGAGCATGATGTACGTCAGCAGCATTGCAGTGGTGAATGGGCCACCACTCATCATCCCACCCGGCCTTGATCGGGGAGAGCAACATCAAAGCCCACCAAAAAAAAAATGCCTATCCGGAACCCTTCCACCAGCTTTCTCATGATGTGGACACGGACTTGCATTGCAGATAGGGAGGCCACGCCTGCCACCTCTAACTTCGACAGAACACCAAAATGTCATGTTGCGGACAACGCATCAAGAATTAGGTGCTTGCCGGTTTACAGCTTGCGTGTTTGGTTTCTTGAGGCCATGTCACAGACCAGCGGTACAGAACACATTGGCAGCCTCGAAAATCGCTGCAGCTCCTGTCACCCCCTGCCATCCCGTTTACTTGTCGGGTCGAAATCCTGAACATATTCTTAGATTTACAATAGGCTGGTGACAGCTAGACAGAGGATGACCAGAGTCCGGAATTCCCCGACCCTTTGAGCGATACGACATACTTCCCGTAGACATGGCAACTCAAGCTGCGTTGGAAACCCAATAGGAGGCTTGCAAACAGGCACGGGGGAAGCGACCTGTCGCCGGGTAGGCAAAGGAGAAGGAGCGCATGATGGACGATGTGCTGGCACCATCTTCCGAGAGCCACCTGGCACGATTTCAATACTCAGATTGGTGGAGATCCACTGTCTTGTGCCGAAAGTCTGGCATGACAGCTTTCCATCGGGGTTGTGCCTTGATGAGATACGTGCGGATGAGATTGTCACAACGCAGAACCTGTGCTTTGTGCAGTGCAGCTTATATGAGTGTTCAAGCCGCGATGGATGAGCCTAGCGACACGAAAACCAGAGCCGTCGAGATATCATTCCAAGTCTTTACACACAACGCGAGCTTCCGCCATCTCTCCTCCATCTCCATGGCTGGCAAGGGCTGCTACCAGTGGCACATGAAAAGCTTTGCCAATCTTGTTGCGCAGGGTCGACAAAGGCATCAGAGTAAGGGCTGGAAGGGACATGGCGAGATGGGGTTGGGCAGGGTATTTTGATGACTTGAAGGCCTGCAGTGGACGGTGACGTCTACCCTGCGTGACCAATCAGAATGAGCCCATTTGGCAGCATCGAGAAACAGCATCAGATTCCTGTAACACTGGGAACAGTACTCATGAAGGACTGCAGCACCCGCTTCCAGCACTACAGCATAGTCGTCAGATCGGCTACTTCCGAAAAACGGATCACAAATTGAAGCAATGTCCCACCTGCTCTGCCAGATCATTCTCCAGAACGAACCTTCGTGTGGTCGCAGACACGTACCGCTTTACAGTTGGCTGTCACACACAGTCTGCAATGAGATTGTCGATAACTTCTGACACGTCAAGCCCCTTCGTATATCTGAAGCGCAAGACAGTCAAAGGCTCGACTCAAGCGAGAGGAGCCTCTGTCGGAGCTTCTCGGCCATTTCCCGTGCCTTCTCCTGCTCTAGTGTAGCTTACAGTGACCAGGTTGAATTGCGTAATTTCAACCGCTGCAGCTGCAGGGAGACCGCTGCTGACGCATTACGGGATAATACGAAGCCGCAGCGCATCCTTGTGCTCCTCGAGCTCCCGCTCCCTTGTTTCAAAGGTGGCATCCTCTGATGCTGCCCTCAGCTTGAACTCGAACTGATGCTGTCTCTTTGAAGCGATCAAGCCCCATGAAGTCATCTGCATTGGTGTGCCTGAGTGTGCATCGACGACAAACAAAACAAGCTCTCAGTCGGCAGACCCTTCCGACAGGGAGATGGCTCGTGCACGCTTGGTCGCGGCATCCTGTCTGAGAAGGAGCTGACATGCCGAAAGCATCGAAAAGCGCCGGCAAGTGTTCTGCGCCCATGAGCCGAGCCTCTTCCAGCTCTGCGACCTCGCGCGAGGTTTGTTCCAGCAGGTCCTCCAGGTTTGAGTGGTCTACACCCGGCCAGCGCGAGATATTCAAGGCTCACACCGAGAAACCGTCGAGACTCACCGGGTCTCGCATCGAAGCCTGGGCCTTTGGCCTGTGAACTTCACAGGTCGGGTTCGCACTTCAGACACCATCGTGGCGCCAATATCCGAACATCGTGGCAGCAAACACCCTGGAGTGGGAGAAAGGACCGGAGCTGAGGACCCGCAACAGGGTTGCCGTAGCACGGTACCACCATTTCTGAAACCCGGAGTTGAAGCTTCCACTCTGCCAGCTGGCTGCGCAAGCTCTAACACCAGCGCTCCCTTCTTTGCAACCCGGAGGCATGAGAACTGCCTGAGAGTCGTCGCGGCCGGAGTGAGAAGATTTGGCATGTCATTACCCCCGCCCGGTGCTACTTGTACTGTAAGGCTTCGGGCATCTCTCAATTGCCGCAATCGAGGCCAGAGAAGCTGTCAAAACTGAGCATCAAAACGTCAACTCCGAACCTGCAGATGGCCCACTGAGGTGCGTGTCAGCACCACGTCACGTAGGGTCTGCGGCAAGGCATGCATGATGTTACGTAACAAAGCCGAACTGGTTAGTGGCGCCTCTTGGACAATCGATGTGAAGTCCAGTGCCTGACAGGAGAAATGAGGAAATACCAAAACGATCCCAGCTTCTCTTTGCTCAGCCTTCAAGGCTGCGTAGCTGTTCTGCAGTTGCTGCTGTGCTGCAACATCTTGTGGCCACCTCACAAGCTGTCGTACTCTGGGCACGGCTTGCATCTCTCTCTTAAGTACAGACCATCAGGAAATGCAAGCAGCTATTGCTGGGATCGCAAAGGCAGAAGCACCTGGGATGCTGTTCTCCGCGTCGCTGCAGGCGTTGCAGGCGGAGCTGTGCCTTCACGACGAAAACATCACTCTGAAAACTGCACCACAGACCACCACCGGTCGGGCCTCTGCCTGGAAACAACGCAAACGCCAGCTCTGGGCCTCCAGCCTGAAGAACAAAAGCGACTCTCGCCTGTATGGCAAAATGAAAGTTTCTGCTCGAGCACTCAGTGGCGCATAGCTGCTCTGCCACTGCCAGCTTGGCCTGTCACCGACGTTTCAACCACGACCGCACATGACATGCTGTCCCGGGGAGGTCCCGGCCTCCCCGAACGAAGTGAGCCTCATACACGTCTGACCGGATTTCGCGACCTCCACTTGCGCAGGCCGGGCACCCAGGCCTGATGGGCTCGAGGGCAGCAGTCATCTCCGACTGCCAGTATACCCTGCCAGGTCCGTCGAGTCTTCAGTCTGTCGCTTTGGAAGAAGCTTGACTTTCTTCAGTCGCGTGCAGGAGCAAGTATGGAAGACCGAATTTGCAGAGAGCGCTGCTTCACGATCATAGGTCAACTCCTTGGGCACAGACCTTGCCAGGGCGCCACTTCCATGGCGAAAGCAGAAAGGTGTCAGCTAAAGCACGGCACACAGGTTGAGTGGAGACTCTGTTTCGAGATTTGTCTCAGTATCTCACTACCAAGATCTGTCCGTTCTTGAAACAACTTTCAGTGGTGTGGTGCTGGCAACGCACATGCATTGATCCAGGTCGGACCTGTGTCGAACTTCAGATGGTCGCATGGCCCAAGACGACATCAGCTCTGGAAGAGACGAGCGTTTCTTCACAAAGACTCCACACAAAGACTCCACACGAGGCTCTGTCAAACTGCAATTTGCATCAACCGCCTCGCTCACTCGAGTCCTTTGGACACGGTGATGACATCTTGCGGCAATGAAGCTGCAGCTAAAAGGACTTGTGGACTGGTTTCAGCTGATGCACTGCATTCCTCATGAATATCAAGACTCGTTCTGCAGGCATTCTTACCTTGCAACAGCCGCAAGTTACAGCGATCAAAAAGGCGCCAGCGCAGAGCTCAGCTTGACTGGACGCACGTTGGGACGCTGGTCGCAACACAATAGAGAGGCTCCAATTTCGGATAGACGCGTGGCAGAGCCGCAGGATTTTCAAAAGCCTTGCGACGGGCTAAGCGAGCTGTTTTCGAGCAAGATCTGCCGATCTGCCTGCTTTGGCTCTAAGCTGCAAGCATCTGCAAGCAGTTGAGCTTGCAATAACCGGGAATCGGTGAAAGATCTACGTTTCATCCAGGGCTGTAACGACCCGAAGGTCTTGACTCGGGGTTGCAGCCCAATCAGTATGAGAGAAATGCATCCGGAAATTGCGAGGGAAGGGCCTCTAAATCAGAATATCTTTATATGATGCACCTTTGCACCCGCGCCGGGTCCTTGGCTTTCACTATCAGCCCACCTCACATTCCTGGCCATCTCTCGCCTACGAGGCACCTGCCTCACTGGCCTCATCCTCCTCAGTCTCGAAGACTTCTTACCCGAGCCGCATTCGACGGCTGTGTGTTAACGACAAGTGCATCATCCAAACCTGCTGGAGAAACCCAAAACCAAGAAGCTTCCCCGTCCACAGGCTGAGTGCCGAGGCTTCGCTGGCTTCGTGGGCCAAGATTTCCTTCAGCATTCGCGGAATTTGATCCTGGCAGCATGTCACTCTCGGCTGCCGAGCAGGCAGATATTCACGATTTCACTAAATTGACCACAGCAAGCACGGCCAGTCTGCCACGTAAGCCAAGGTCAGAAGGATCGGCCTGCAGCAGCAAAGTGCACATCATGCAGAGAGCATGGAAAACAGAGTTCACTTGGGAGAAGCCGACTCAGGACGAGGCAGCAAGTCCTGCAGCTCCGTGTCCTGTGGATCATGCTTCCACCTGCGATCGAAGAAGTTCAGTTGCCGAACACCACTGTCGAGGAAACTCGGTCAGGTCACTCAAACACATGCTGGCCACACGTTCTTATTGGAATGGCATTCTCCGGCTGCAGAGCATAGCAAACTGGCCTGGGCACTGAATCAGCCAGAATGAATATCCGATGGTATCAATTCATGCTGAAGTTTATCTAGCAACTCGATGACTCCTGCAATCTTTCGCAGTTGTGCTCAAGTGTAACGATAGCATGTCTGGTTTTTTCAGAGATGCGCTTGTCGCACATTCCCGCACTGATCTTGACAACCTTGCTCCCCTTTTTAGCTGAGCTCTGACAGGTGCATACGCAGCACAGAACGTCATGCATGCGAATGTGGGAAGACCGGAGTCTTGGGTCCGCGCATGTTGTCAATGATGATCACCTGCCATGCACCATTATCGAAATGCAAAGGTGCCAACAACAACAACAACACACAGAGGCAAATAGGCTGCCAGGTCTGTGCATGCGGCCAGATGTGCCAGAATACAAGTTGTTTCTTTGATTCAGGCAGACCGTCCATGGAAAGCACGCTGAGGTGACATCGTTCAGACTTCGCCCGAGAAGCGACAGATCCTGCACATGCTGGACCCATTCAGTCACTCCACGCCCAAACCCCACATGCAATGGTGACCCTTGCAGCCCTTGAAGCTATGGACCATCAATCACCAAGCGAATTCTTGCAGCTACTGCACATGGATAAGGGGCACTTGGTCCCACACCTACGCCTGAGCACCAGGGCTGGTTGTTGCTCGGGGGGTCACTGAACCAAGATTCCATGCATATCATCTCGGCTGGAATGTCAGAGGATGACACAAGGAAACATGGTGTGCCATGATTCGAACGTTAGACATCGATGGAATACTCGCCCGCGAGTACATCAAGCTAGGGTGGTCATGTATTTATCGACTTCTCCACATTCATTATGTGTCTGGTCGAGTTTAATGCAAAAAGTACTTTCGTGAGCAAAGCTCAAAATGTGCGACCACTTGGTTCAGTGGGAGCAGGCACGATGCAGTTCAAAGTTCAAAAGTGGCGGAAGGGAGTGCACACCCCCACTTGCCCATGTTTGCACCATTGGGAAATATGCTGTCCTGTGTGGAGCCGGCGGTTTCGACGCGGGTATCAGATTTTGCCGCAGAGCTGAATACTCGAGGGCGGCTGGGGGTGGCAAACCAACCTGCAATGCCTTCTGTTGGATTCTCCATCCCCACGAGCATGAGCACCGGCTTGAAAGGACAGTGGATATTTGACCCGCGGCGAAAACGACACAGCAACGGCAATGGCAGATTGTGACCTCGTTCTGGATCGATGCTTCCTTCTAACAGGCAGAGATTGTGATCCGGGCATTTCGCAGCCCTCCGGCAACAAACACGGCAGAAGTTCTGTTCAGCAGGCCCTCCCCTGTTCACCTTCCGACTTGAGTACATGTAGCAGTTAGTTCCGACATTCCTGTCTGAAGCCAGTGGCTGGTATGTCACTACTGCCTCCACCCACACCTAGCGTAGGCTCCTCTTTCAGAGACATGCTGCTCATCATGGAAGGATGCCGTGGCGAAGGCGAAGTGTGCGGCAAAAGGTCGACAACATTGCACGGCAATGGACCCGCTCCGACAAGAGGAGCACAAGCCTTCAAGGATCTGAAGCGAGGCTGGGAGCGTCTGCGCCACCATCGCACGGACGCAGCAAGGCACCTATGTCAAGGACCATCCCCAGCCCGAATGTGCTGCGAAAGCAGGTTGCTGGACTTGTGCCGGCCATTGCCTGGGAGTCGGTATCTGATCCGGCGGTAAGGCGCCTGCTCTTTGCACTTCGAAGAGCTGGGTCTGAAAAACCGGCTTTTCTGACCGGCCCATTGCGGTCCCGTACGGGACAGAGCAGCCCAATATGCACGAAGCGGCGATGGCCGCTCGAGATGTGTCATGTGTAGCCGTGTGGCCGGTCCTAGCGTGTCTGCGGCGAGAGTGTCCGCATCGATGTAGGCCAGCTGCGGATACCCGCTGCGTGACACAGAGAATGTCGCCAGCCGGAGGGTCTTCTAGGACCGGACCGAAGAGCCGAAGTGCTGTGTGTTGCCGCGGGAGCCGTGTCTGCGGCCGGGACCCCAGTCGAGAAGCCGACTTCGTCAAAGTCCTCCCTTTGGCCTTCGGGTTCCGCTACAGACAGGCAGCACGGCAGCACTCAGTCGGCTGGGCATCGGCATCTGCACGACGAGGACGTTGTCGCGACGAGCGAAAGAGCCCCGACGACACCTACGACAAAGAGCCGCCCAGGTTCGACGGTGGCGTGATGGTCGAGGCTGCGCCGAAAGCGCAAGGACCGAGTGCTGCACGGTGTGGCTACACTGCTACACCACCTACACAGAACACATTCAGTGCTTGACTTCTTGGCACTTGACTCCAGTCCTTGACGTAGCCTTCTTTGTATCTTGTGCAAGCTTCGCGGAACAGCCTCCCACGACACAGCGAACCCATCAACAACAAACCAATGAACTGTTGTTGGTGAGGGCAAGTCACCTGTGCTGGATCCACCCAGACTTGTCCAGCACGTCCAACAAAGAATTCTCGGATCGCAGCTCAATATTGCAGTCAAGCGTGTAGCTTGCCACTTGCAAAAACTTTTTGAGACGGCAGACCGCATAAAGCGCAGTAGAAGCTGTAAAGATTGCCACCTCGCCGACAGTCACGCATTTGGAAAACACGACTGCGCAGCTTGAGGGAACAGAACAAGCATTGCTAACCAGCCTGCCTCGTAAAGCTTCGCGACGGCATTTAGAAACTCATCGACGCCGGGCCTCTTCCTCACGTAAACCTCTCGATGATCGAAGGCACAAGCCCAACATAGCCCAACCACAGACTTGGCAAGTGCTCAGTGGCGACATAGGCTCAGAATCCCGCGAATGCTTGCGGGTGATTCGGCACAGTGCAAGGCGGGATGACCGTGACACCTACCAAGACTTATGACCTGCCTTGTGCTCCTCGTTCCCCAGAAACACACTCAGCACCTCAACATGCTGGGATTGAGATCCATGGTGGCCTGTAGAATGCTCTGACACAGAGGCCAAGGCCAAATCACACTTGACGGGCGTGAATGAACTGTGCACCTCGGACACCAGTCGCTGCTGCAGGTCAAGTGTGCTATTGACATAGCTGAGGCTTGGGTTGGAAAGCTGTGGCCCAGACAAGCGTCTCGTCCAAATCTAACACTAACGTCTTCCTGCCGCGAAACGCCGGGTCCTGTCATGCAGCAAGCCAGTGGCAGGCCCCGCAAATAACATGATGCTCCATTTTCCCATCGCGAAATGCGGCTGAAAAGCAACACACCTGGTAAATGCCACTTCTTAGAACAGTTTCAACAGAGCACCAACACTAACGAAGGCCTATTCCCCTCAGAATCGCAGGGACCGGTAGACCAAACAATCATGACGCTCCTGCGGTGGCAGCAGCGGAATTGCTTGCTGCGGTAAGGGCCCTTTGTGGTCGCGCTTGGGGGACACCTGAGAAGCTGCATTACAAGAACCGGGCGAAGATAGAAGCTTCGGAGACTCTGCCGGACAGTCCGTGCCTCAACAACTAAAGCCAGAAAGAAGCTGCATAAAGGTTCTCAGCTCTGTTGGAATTCTCAGGGACCCGCCGCGTGCTGAGGCTGTTCCTCCGCCTTGGGCTCGTGCCACGTGCCGCCGACTTCACAGAAACCCCGATTTAGGACCGCACAGGCTGCGAAGGCTTTTCGTCAGCCTGGGGGGGCATGCTGAAGAGTCTGATAGTCCGTTTTGGGGGGCAGCTGGGATCTCTGAAACGTTGTCCTGCGTCACAAGCTGCGCCAGCTGAGAAGATGGTGCCTGTTCAAAGGAATTCGTGGCCACGCAGCCGGCGATCTGTCGCTGCGGCCTCGTGGCCGGGAGCCAGCTCGTGGCCCCTTGGCAAAGCCGGGCTTGCGGCAGCTCAGCAGCTCCGTATAACATCAGGTCCGAGCGACGGGGGCGCAGGCCCAGACCGAGGGGAAGACGGTGCCTGCGAGAAACCAAAGCCCGAAGGCCGAAAATGGCCAAAGATGCCCGGAGACTCGACGTCGACGTCTAAGGATCGATCCTTCTTCGCTTCACTCGCGCTGGGAATCGCCGGCTTGCTTAGCCTCGGTGACAAGGCCAAGCTCGAAAAAACAGCAAAGATGCAGCCACTGCCAACCAGACAACACTTCTATGAACTTCTTCCTGGAGAGCCTAAGAAGGCGGCTGGATCTCATCCTGAGCGCGACGGAACAGACTTGAACTGAGCTGCAGGTTGCAGCAGAGATAGTACAGGTTGTTCTGCTTTCTAGCGGAGCACCACTTTAGAGACTCCGCTGCCCTGAAACAAGTCGCTCGGAAGATTGAATGCATCAAGAAGCATACACATACCCGATTGAATTCTGATTCGGTCCAGGCTTCGCGACGCTCTGTCACGAATCCGTCGGTGGTCTCTTCCTGCACACGTAATTTATCAAGACCTACTCGGCATGATCCTGCTCGTCACTCCGACTCGAGAGTCTCAAGTTCTGTGACAGTGCTGCAAAAGCCCCTCGTCGCGCCGTTAACACTGACAAAACCCTCTCCAATGCATGTCGGTCTAAAAACACTTGGTGCCAATCACAGCATCACCTGCAACCATGATCGATTCACTTCCTCGTCTGCCTTCTGTTTCGTGGAGAAGCAGCACCTCGAACCAATTGGGTCAAGGAGAAGACCACAACGAGGACAATTTTCTTCGCTTGGACGATTTAGTTGAAAGAGTTTGATCTAACCTACCTGCTTGACTGATTGATTTCTCTGCTCCTGGTGGGAAACATGATGTAACATGCTGTCCTCACAGAGTGCTTTGCACCTGAAGGATCAGAAGCCCCTAAATGGCATGTCCTTTGCACGCTCACAACGAGGTCAAATTGGCTGACCGCTACGCAGGGCCTATGTTTACCCCGTGCTTCAAACAGGTCAAGCTCAGGTGGCATGACAAGATCAGAAAATGCTATAGGCTTGTTAAACGGACGCTGGAGTCGATCAAATCTCTCACTTCCGGTCGCTGTTTCTGCAAAGACCTGAGTCTGGAGACATCAGAAGCACAACAGCAGCCCTTCTTTGCATAAGCACAAGCAAAGCAATGTCGAGGAACTCTTCCCACATGTCGATGATGAAGTTTGTACCTAGCACAAGTCACCGGCCAAACTGCTTCGGGGGGCGAATCCTGTTAGACAAGTAGCTGCTGGTCAAAGGCTTCCTGTGCGCCTTGGCAACACGACCATGGCAGAAAGAGGAGCCCCAGCAGGGCCAAGGGCGAGCAGGTCCCGTACAAGGCTCCAACCTGCGCCAAGGGCCTCGCCGACCTTGGCGAGGGCTCGTTCCTGAAGCGACAACTGGGCAAGGAATGGGAAGTGCACGCCTCCACCGCGGCCTTATTCCTCTGCAGGCAAGCAGCGACAGGATCTTTTCGTCCAGCTCTCGTGCTGCTTCTGCATTTGAAACTATCGCCTGCAAGGAGCAGAAATTACGTCGAAGCACTGTGCACACATAGCCCGCCCGAGGGGCCCTTCCTGCCCCGTGCCGGCAAGGCGTCGAGTCCTGTATTCGGATTCTTGGCATTAGCCCATATCTGCAACCGAGACGCAGACGACCGCACCTCGCAGTCACAAGAGCTACAGACACGGTCGCAGCCTGTGCCGCGTGCTGAATGCCTACATGCGAAATCAGGCCCCAACCCGCCCGCGCTGTTTCTCGATCTGTTCGTCAATGGAAGCTGGCATCTCCTCTTTTGTGGCAAAGGCCTGCAAACACAGGCATGGGGCAAATCCGTGTGGGTGGCACGCCTTGCGGCTTGAAAAACAGTGACATTGCCTGAGCCAGATCAGAAGCCATGATCTCGAGGCTCTGAGAAACCTGCAATGGCGAAGGCTTCCCCATAAGCAAGATTGCCTGCAGACTCGCATGCGCAAAGCTTATCATTCTGAGGCCTTGGAAAAACTCTTCAAGTTTCGTCTACCAAGTTTCTTGATGAGCTGCAAGAGCCTGCAAAGTCTGGAAAGTCTTCGTAGACTGTCGGCTCTGACGTCCCAACACGAAGCAGTCAAGCCTGAACTGCTGGTTCTCGAAGATGAGAACCTCAACAGGCTTGTACTTCATGTAGTCCTCGATTCGGCTGATGAACCTTCCAGGGGCAACGAGGTCAGGCCCGCAACCCGAAAACCCGACCGAAGAAAAGGATTCAGAATGGAAATCCGAGCGTTTCGGCACGTCTGGCAATCTTCGAGTTGTGGATCGCGCTCCCCGCCTTGCCCACGCACCGTCCGTGCACCGCCCGCCCACCCGACATCCTTGTCCACACCTCCCCAGGGCACCACCTGATGGTTTTCGGCCCCTCGATCCAGCCTGCCCCCCGACGCAACACCGTCTCACATCTCCCCTCCGGCCTTTCCTCCAACGATAAGCATCCTGCGTCAACCCCCGCCATCTCTGACCACCACCCGCGTCCAAGTCCGCCCACCGTCTAGTCTTCGAAACGTCTTCCGACCCCTGCCCTCCTTCTAAACCTCTTCCGTCCAGACAGGTCCGATATGTCGCACCTCGCGATAAACGAGAACCCAACCCCAGAGGGTTTTTTCGGGACGAAAACTCGTTGTCGATCCTCATTATGCTCGGTCTTGACAGTCGAAGATTGTCTCAAGAATCCTCGGCCTTTAAACAAATTCTTCGGAACAAACTGCTGGAATCCTTGACTGCACTGACAAGCTGCAGCGAGATCGAGACATACCCCGTGGAGGTGGTGTCCTTGGCGTATTCCGGGAACGAACTTGGGAGAAATGTGCTTACCTCCAAAGTCCCTCACAGGGACTTGAACTGCACCACGCTGTCACAGAATTCTGCATGCCGACATGACTGCCGCATGGTCTTTGGGATTCGAGGCATCAAAGTATCCAGCTCGTAGAAGATCTTCCTCGCTTCTGGCAAACCTGAAGCTGAATGCTGATGTCTCGGACGAGGCTGTAAGACTACTGCCTGCTTCGGAAGCTAGTAGGAAACTACACCTCTGGCAGCCACGAGCACCAACGCCCACATCCGCCAGTTCGTCCAGATGGTGAGGCAATACAGCAGAGATGTCGCTAAACGAGATCGCACCGGTGTCCTGGCTGTCCATTTCCTTAGAACACACCCAACAGTAACAGTGAACTGCGCAACCGATGGCAGCATGCTCAAGCAGCCCTACCGACTCTGGTTCAGGCAGACTACTTTCCAAAAGCCTCCAACAGAGCAAGTGCGCAAACGTACGGGTCATCAACTATGCCAGCCAATGGGGCACGAGTCCAAAAATCGAGCAACTCAATTGGAATCAAAGGTCGAGTTGTCAGGAGCAGGAGAGCATGTGGTTGATATTGTGAAATGCACCGGACAAATCAATCCGTTTCATCGATCAAGCTATGAAGGCGACGGAGCAACTCCGCTTCCACTGTGTCAGAAAAGCCGCTGGAAACTCCAGTTTGTTGAAGGTGCCCCCAAACCATCCTTGCACACCCCCCTTCATCGCCCGGCATCTGTTCGGTGAATGCTGCGCTCTCTGAGTGCTGAAGCTGCTGTGGCGATAAATCCTCACCCTTTCTGCAGTAAGAAATGCGGAGCCTAGAAGCACACAGCACGTAGGTCAACGCGGAGCCAACGAGCGCACAGCATGTTGGTCAACCAATTCGGCACCCACACAGAACGCACTGGAGTCTGGAGCGTAACTCTGGTTTCAAGCTCATGCGCATTCTGCCACGCCACGTGAATGGCTCTGACGAAATGCTTCAAGAGCTCCTGGGCACAGAAGACCGGCCCGGCCCCCGGGTCCCTTGGTCCCTTCCCGTCTTTGGCCTACCGTCCTGGGTCAGCTGCTGGAGCTCAGAATCCTTGAACTTCGTGACATTCGTGAATTCAAAAGATTGGTCCACCTGTGACAGTTGTGGAGTAAAAGTGCAAAGAACCGAAGAAGAATCGCCCGCTTCACTGTAGTCGTCTATGCTATCTTTTTGCCGCTTGGTGCCGCTTTGCCTGGTGCACGAAGACTCCTTTCACAATGTTAAGCCACAGCATGACGCCAAACGTGAGGAAGCCGAAGAAAACGATCCCTGACAGGAGGCTTCGCCAAGCCCGGAAGCTTGTTCAGTGTGGGCCGTCGTGCGGAGAGGTTGCAGTTCAGCAAGCAGGAGTGGGCTAGGCACAGTTTGCAAGCGCCCAGCCCTATTCCCCCAGATCCTTACTACCAGAGTGCAGCTTCTGCAAACCAGGTGCCGCTGATCGCCGTTCCCGTGCTGAAGAGCAAGGTGTTTGCCAGCTGTGGCCCCCACTCCACACCTCGACGCAACAATCAGCTAACCCGTTCGACAATAAGCTGACATTGCACCGAGTCGTCACCAAAGAAAAGCATGAGATTTCGGAAAACAAAAACCACAGGCTCGAGATCAAAACATTGGAGGTGCTAGAATTGCATTGGTGTCTGCTGCCTCCCAGCAAGCACTCCACCAATGTAAGGTAAGCAGACGCCACGGAAGAGAAGCGAGTACCTTCCCAGGCTTCGTACAGACTGTGCTGACTCTTCTGTCATCAACCTCACCACTGGAGATCAAGATAGCGCTTGAAAAACATGCACACGCAGAAGTTCTTGCAGCTGAGATGCGGATCACAACCGGAAGGCTGATGTGGATAGGACTGCTGGGACCCACGAGCTCGCACAAGAGCACTGAGGCGGCAAACAACCTGAAGCCCAATGCAAATAAAGAACTAAAGAAGTAAAACCTGTACAGCTATGGAACATTTTGGCACGATTCATATGTCTCATACAGTATGCTGCCACGCATCATCGTGGCCAAATACATCGTCATGGCGAACAAGTAGCTGAGTGAGTGCTTCAGACCCATGGCCTTGCACGAGAACGACACAGAGAGACTGAGACTCAGACTCAGACTGAGACTGGGACTGGGGCTGAGACTGAGATTGGGAATGGGACTGAGACTGAAATCGCGTCTTAGGGACATTCCTTGACAATGCCACGAAAACTGCGCAAGCAAATGCCATTGGCATCCATACCCTCAAACCACGTTGACATGCTGCTGCGCGGCGGACAAGTAGAGTGGCCGAAGCCATTTGATGCTCGCCAATGTCATGATGCCTGCACGTCTGCACGGGATCTTGCTGTGAAGTTTTGCGGGAGCAACAGTGAGACACCTTTATCACGTGATGGAAGCAAGCCACATTGCTATGCAGATGACTGTAGATGTTCCTGGACAAACAAACAACCAGTGCTCCCTGAGCACCCGTTTTAATGCGATGTTTGCCGGATAATGTAAGGCGGTGAGCCAAACAAACATCGCGGATGTTCCGTTAATCAAGGGATGAATCATGCAGGAACGGCACTGGCGACGGGAAATTTTGAAATCAGGTTCGGAAAATGCGAAGGACAATTCGAGAACCGGGATTCGGGAACACATTCAGAACTCGATTCGCAAAACGTGTGCGGAAATTCTGAAATTGCGAGCAGCCAGTTCAGGAACAGAATGGTCGCAAGTGCGTGGATCTGATTTGCACATTGCGGCCATGCCTTTGCCAAGTCACAAATGCGGGACCGCAAAACAGGCAGCGTTTTTTAACAAACGCGAGGATCGTCCTCAAGATGAAACCCTAAAGCCGGCCCCAAGATGAACCCCTAAAGCGAGGAAGGCAATGCAAACCTTAAAGTCGCCCTCGAAATGAAACCCTCTCAAGCCGCGAAAACGAAAACGGCAGAGCAAAACTCGCCAAAAGATGAAGCTCTAAAAATTGTCCCGAAGAGCAAAGCGAACCCTGAAGCCAGCACCATGATGAAGGAAGACAAATAGTACGCGTTGTCGGCCTGCAATCGGGCTCGGGCTAGAGGCCACTAGAAGCAGGCCTGACAGATGTCACACCTGTGTGTCTGCTCTTTGCAGCGCTGATTGGCTTCACTTGCAAAGGTAAATGAACAACTCGAATGACTTCTTCTCGAGTCCGCCAAGGGCGGACTTAAAGTTCAAAAACAGTCCGTGGCACTGCACTAACCTGGATATATCTCTGCAAGCGATGTTGTGCAGAGAATCACTTGCGCTAGGAAAAGATCAGGACTAGAAGCTTTGACTGCGTCCAGCAGCCTCCTAAAGTGGCCTGAACAGCATCTTGGCGCTGTGGAGTGTGGGAGTGCCAGCGAGGACGGGGCAAACCCACTCGTTCGCGTGATCCGGTGTGACGGAACCGCAAGGGCAAGGAGTGACCGGTTTACCCTGTGTGAAAAGCAGTTTGCCGCCTCATGCAGTGGCGCGCAAGCCCCATGGGCCCGTTGGTAGCTTTCAGCGTCCAGAAATGGTCGAGTATGTCGCCCATCACGACTGCCCGAAGGACGTGCTCTGTCACGCTTGCACCAACCAAGTGAACGGCATCGACGGTGTGCCCGGACAGCAAGCGAAACAGCGGGCCGGTGGGGCCTAGCTGGCTTCTTTCCTACATTACATACGATGGCGGCATAGGGAGGGGCTAACATTCCTTAAGGGAATGCAGCCTAGCAAGAACCGCAGTTGAAGCTTTGGGGAGCGCAGCACCCTTAAATAACCCTTGCTTTTTGTCACTACGGGGAAGAGCCTTCATCCAGGAACCCGTGGTGCGAGCTTGAGTGAGGCGGGTGAACTCCTCCTCCTCCTCCTCCTCTGCCTTAGAACTGGCTCGCGTGAGGAAAAGACGAGTGCTCGCATTTTGAAGCTCACTGGCTGGCAAGGCGCCTGCGGACTTAACAACCCCGGTGGCTGCGAACTCAAGCTTGCCATTGTTTTCTTGGAGTCCAAGCATGGCGACTTCCCGTTGCCATGCAGTGGCAATGTCGCAGCATTGCCGTGAGGATTTGGTGACCCATGTGCGGTCATCAAACAAGGCACCGTTGGGGCGCCTGCCCCTGAAAGTGTTGCTGCTTGTTGCGCGCAATGGCCTCAGCAATGACCACATTAAGCGCCAAAGGCGATGCAGGGTCCCCATGCGGCAGAATATGAACGTCGCCTTGAGGAGTGGCAGAGACCGTCCTGCCAAGTTGAAGCCACCGGGTTTGATGACACCAAGCTTTGCTGAGCGCGACCGGGCCGAGGCGCCCCACATTCGGCTGAGAGCGGCAGTCCCGTGAGAGCCCAGGCTGTCGAAAGCTTTGGTCAAGTCAGCAGCTCCGGGCTGGGCTGAGCATCATTGGGCCCACCAATGCTGTGAACACTCCCCTGTGATAGAGACCCCCGTGCAATTCGGAAGGCATGACATGCATGAAGAGGTTAGTGCACCTGGCACCATTGCAGCAGGGCTGTGGGTCAACGGACATCATCCACCTCTGCTGCTTGCAGGAAGCGACGTGAAGCACACAGTTTGGTAGATGCATGAGCTCCTTGGCATTCCATGCATCTCGGCCACTGGCCTTCGACTGCATCTTCCTGCCTAACGAGCGTCAGCAGGTGTGAGACAGCCACTCTGGAGTGGCCGGACGAGGCCAAGGTGGTGCCTCGGCTTCAAATTGCTGAGTTTGCTGACGTGCCTGAGCTTTCAGCTTCCTTTGTTAGCGCGTCACCAGTGATGACCGTGTGGCCGTCAGCGACCAGCACACCAGCAACCGGTTCAACGGTCTCAACGCGGGCAAGCCATTGCCAAACTTGGTGGACATCTTCGCGCATGCGTTGACGCGACTTTTTGACTTTGACCTGATTAGCTTCCTCAGTACCTACGTGCAGGTGACTCCGTAGCCAAGCTCTTACCTGGGGTATGCTTAAGGGTTCAAGCGGGTTGTGTGGACACTGCAAGGAAACAGCGTCTCTGCGTAAGTTAGCGGTGAGCATACATGAGGGTTCATCATGACGGTGGGACGGTGGGCGTGGCGGTCATGGAACTCGACGTGCCTGCACCAAAGTTTCTGGAGACGGGTTGAAAGGATGCTGTGGTCAGGGGAAGCGTGGGCCCAACTGTATTTGACCACTCGGCACGCTGCGGCTGGGGCGTCCTTGGGGTTGCGGGTATGCGTAGGTCGAAGACTAGGGTCGACCTGGGTATAAGCCTGGTCCGTTGCCTTGGTGAGGGCCGTACCGAGGATGCAGCTGAAGTCTTCCCAAGTGTTAAGGTGACGGTGATCCTCCACAGTACGGAGCCACCAACTTTCGATGAGGTTAGCCCACTCATGAGCTTTAAGGTGGTCGGGTTTGGTGCATCGTGGCTGCGGATTTAAGCAATTTTTTTGCGTGAGTTGCACCGGGCTCAAGGCGAGCTCATACTGTAACACCCGGTGATCCGCAAATTTATGGGGAAGTATCTTGGGGATGACGTGGAAGTCTTTTTGCATGGACCAGTCGATGCAATGTGCAACGCGCTGGGCCCGGGCTCATGCACCGAGTCATCGAGCTCTGTATGGTTGTGGGGGTACAAGACGTTGGCATGAAGGTCAAAGGACCATGGACGCAAGGTCTTCCCTCGGGTCCTTGTTGAAACCCCCACCCATAAGCCACAGTCCTGAAATTACATAAAGATCCTGGCAACAAGCTTCCCCTTTTGTGGAGAGGTTTGAGAAGCTGCTACGACGGCCGCAATGGGCATTCGCACGATGACGGCAACACCGCCGTACATGCGATTGCCAACGAAGCGACCAGCTTGATGAAGGAACGTCCAATTGGCCTGCATTGCCTCGGCAATTTGACGGGCCTCGCAATCCTTCAGCGCGCTTTCCTGGACAAGCAAAACATCGATGTTATGTTTTGTGGCTTCGGCTAACAAGTTTGGACCGTGAGTGTGCTAGGAGGCATTGTTAGCTTGCCAAGTATTTAACGGCTGGTCCCCGGTAGTGCGGGCTACATGGCGTTTTTGTCGGCTGTGGTGGACCTAGAGGCCTCGCACAAACGACTCAGTGCGCTGATGAAGGAGGGCAAAGCAAAGACAAAAACCGTCCTTAAGATGAAGCCGAAAAGACGTCCCGAAACTGGAAGGCAAAGCAAACTCTAAAAGTGCCCCCAAGCTGACGCCTTAAAGCCGCCCCGAAAATGAAACCCTAAAGCGAATAAACAAACACAATGAAGCCGTAAAGCCGTCCCGAAAATAAAACCTTAAAGCGAGGATGACACAGCAAATCCTAAAGTCGTACCCAAGAAAACAATTTCAAAACCGTCCCGGCAATGAAACCGTGCACACCCCCAAAATCGTCCCCCAGATGATGCCTTAAAATGAAACCACACAGCGAGCGAGACACGGCAAACCCGAACGTCGTATCCGAGAAGAAGATTTCAAGCCGTTCCGACAATGAAACCGTGCAAACCCTAAAGTCGTCCCTAAGATGAAGCTGCAAACCCGTCCCGAAACCATAAAGCGAGGAGAACAGTGCAAACCCAAAAATTTCGCACAAGATGAAGCCAAACCTTAAAACGAGGAGCGCAATGCAAACCCTAAATTCGTGCCCACAATGAAACCCTAAATTTCTAAAACCGTCCCGCAAGTAAAACCCTAAAGCCCGTAGCCCCCAAGATGAAGCGTTGAAGCCGTCTCGAAAATGAAACCCGGCAAACTCTACAGTCCCCCCCAAGATGAGCCTTAAAGCCGCCCGAAAAATGAAACCTAAAAGCGAGGAGGCGGTGCAAACCCCAAGGAAATCGTCCCCAAAAATGAAACCCTAAAGGGAACCCTAATGTCGCACCCAAAATGAACCGAAACTAGAAATCGAGGAAGGGCGTGCAAACGCTAAAGCCGTCCCCAACATGAAACCCTACTGCTACCCCGCAGATGAAACCAAAACCCGAATCGGCCCCAAGATGAAGCCCTAATGCCGTCCCGTAAATCGAACCCGAGGAAAGCCTCGCAAACCCTAAAATTCCCCCCAACATGAAGCCGTAAAGCCGTCCCGAACATGAAACCCCAGAGCGAGGGAGGCAGCGCAAACCCTAAAGTCGTCCTCAAGATGTAGCACTATAGCCGTCCCGAAAATTAAACTTAAAGCGAAGAAGACACAACAAACCGTAAAGTCGTACCAAAACGAAGCCCTACAGCCGTCCCGAAAATGAAACGGCACGGCAAACCCGGCAGTCGCCCCCAAGATCCCAGAAATGAACTAAAGCGAGGAAGGCAAGGCAACCCCTAAAAATCGTCCCGAGATCAAGCCTCAAGCCCTAAAGCCACCCCGAACAAGAAACCACAAAGCCAAGAAGGCAAAAGCAAACCCTAAAGTCGTACCCAAGATGAAAACAGGCAGAGCCAATCCCCGAACCCTGAACCGCACTGCCCGTGAATCGTCAAGCCAACAGAGACCCTCAACTGTTCCACTCAGTTCCGGAATTTTACTGTCTCGGTTCCGGCATCGGCTCGCCTGATCTCTGAATCAGCGGTTCCTGAATTTCTCGGCTTGGTTCCCGATTTCCGGTCCCGGTTCTCGAATTGAATTCCCGAATTGCTGCCTTGGTTTCTGCATGGTTCTTCGCTCGAACAGCAACTCACATCCTGCCCACCTCGAGCAATCCGGCATACCCGAAACAGACTCATTACCGTCGTTATGGCGATGTTGTCCAACGATCGTCTTGACAGTGGTCGCCAAATCCACATTTCCACTGCTGGGATCCTCGGACAATCGGATTCAAGCGAACGCTACAGTAGACTGTGTGCAAGGCCATGCAAGCCGTCCTCCGAATATGCTCACACAACATGCACGCAATGAGGTCACAAAAAGACGATGTAGGAAAGATACAGCACAAGACCACTGTGCACCGCTCTGAGAACACGTAACGAAGCCCCTAGCGAAGACATGCCGTCTTCCCAAAACACACCGAAAATCGCATCTCCCTTTATCCCGCCGGCATAACTCTGCACACCGAAAAACTCCTCCTCCAAGAAGGCTCGCGCTGGAGAAAACTTGTGCTTCTCTGTTGCAGTTGCAGTTGCTCGCTGGTTTTAGAATGGACAGCCAAGGATCACTATCACCACGGTATCAAGCAGCAGCAGCGGGTCTTTCCACAGTTGCCACTTTGCCTCAACAGTCAGCTCACAGTGAAGCTCTCTGATGGCGTAAGGGGAGACCAGAAGATCCAAGAGACGGAGATGCAAAATTGAGCTGTGCCAGTGCAGGCAGGAGCATTGACGAGATCGATACCATTTTTCAGTCTTAGTCCGATGCTTGCTCCCTGACTACTGCGTCATTGGAGTTGCAGAGATTGGGATACATGCACTCATCGAATATCTGACACACCGTCTATCGAACATCTCGCACACATGTGGCTCTCTCTGGGCTGTTCTGGACGAGGCGAGGTTCCACGGAGAAAAATGTAGACTCAAGCGGCATATGCAGCAAGTCTCGACTTGTGAATATCTCACCGAGAAAGCCCCCCAGAGCTCCTTGCTGGCTGCTACCCTCCGATCAACGCAATGTGGCACACCAGAGCATTAAGCGTCTAGAGCACTCTCTCATCGGAAGTGCCGGACATGACGGCAAAACGCTAGATGTGCGTCACAATGGAGCACCAACCCAGCAATCTCCTTTGCAATGATCCACACCTGTGGTAAGACCCGGCCCCACCAATTCCCTTCGCCGAACTTCGAGCGATTGTTGCATCTTCCAACATCAGCCTTCTGACGTCGATGCATGGAACAACACGCTGAACATCAGTCAGAAAGCAGACACTCATCACCTGCATAGGCATCCCATCATGGACCCGAATCTATAGCGGCACAAGCACCCCGGGCTCTACAGAACCTCGAGCATAAGCAATGCCCGGCTAAAGCAATACAGACGACTGAAGGTCGCTCAAACTTGCATCACCTACTGCGTACTCAGCTGCATAGTGAAGGAGGCGGATCAGAAGCTCCACAAAGAAGAGGCCTCTCAATCCAGGCACGGTCTCTCTCTGCCAAGTCGCCGTCGTTTAACCGGAGGCCTGTGAAGACGCTCTCGACCACATAGTATACGTCAAGGTTGTCAATGACTTGATGCTCACGCATGACAAAGCCATCGGCGTGGATACCTGGTACAACAATGATGCATGTGTATCGGAACTGCCTGACTGCCTCAAGCCGTCAAGATACAGGACGAGGTTCCACACACAAGGATACATGAAGGAATGATGCTTACACATGCTGAGCACCTGTCTAGAGGCTGTGCGGCAGAGCATCCCATCCAGAAGGTGTTGAGAGTAATCAGCGTCACATTGAAGATGAGAAAAGCTGAACTGGTAAGGATCCTTGCTTCCCAGGGCCCGACAGCAATGCTGCCGGCGCCTACCATGTCTAGCAATGCTTGGCTGCTAAAATCCTGGCTCCTACCCCATGAAAGCAACATTACCAGCAAAAACATAAAATCTTCTCTTGTCTCGTAGCACATGTTCGCCACAATTGCAGAACGCTGCTTTCAGTCCTCGTTGCCCAGCGGGGAGGGCGGTGAACTCGCCGTCTGCAGCAAGGAACGAAATCAGATCTGTAATGGATCCAGAAGCCTACGACTACGATCCTTTGCACCGTGGGCCGAAACATGCAGCCGGTTGGGGTATCAAGGTCGCCGGATTACGAATGTTCGTGAGCGGTGCGATTCCGGTGTTCAACTGCTGAGACGCAGCCAAGTGACTCGCTGAGTTTTGACCCAGCAGAAGATCTCCTGTTGAACATCCTGTCCTGGCACGTACAATCGGGTGGGCCGCTTCCCAAAGCAACTTCAAGCAGCAACTCCACAGTCCCTGACAAGCCCAAAAAGCGCAGGGTAGCGCGCCCAGAAGAAACAGGCATGTCACACAAGCACGGCGTTCCAGGAAGGCTTGCTCTGGTCATGTAATGTGGGACCGTTCCGGCAGCGTCAGTCCAGATTCAAAAGACCCAGTCCTCGCTGCTGGAGCTTGAAGACGAGACGTTCTCGTCCTCCTCTCAAAAGCGACACGCAAGGCAATATTTCATGATTGCAGCTTCAGCGGCCTTGGTTGCCTCCCCAACTTGGTCATCTTGATAAGCGGAAGAATCAAGCTGGTCGATTTCAACCATACCTTCGCCACTGATGTCCGTCTCGTTGTCATTGTCACGCACACTGTGAAAACTTACCTGGGTCGATGCCCCACAAGGCCGTGAAACAGCTTCTGGAGTGTATTCAGAGACACTTCCGAAGCAAAGCTTTCACGCATCTCCACTTCGCGAAGTGCTTGGCAAGCCGGTGAAGGCAAGTGGCGTTTTTGGAGAGCTTGGATGGAAACTCTGACATCGCTGATGCAATCGCCAAGTCGCCAGACGCTTTCTCCCGAGGTGAACTAGCCTAGCTCACGATACTTTTGTTGTGTTGTCGTTGCCACCTGTGAACCAGAGTTTGGGAGAACAAGCGATTTCGTTCCAGCACCTCCTCTCGGACAGGTTGAATGTGCAAGCAGCATGCAAACAACAACAGGAATCACAAAAACCTGCTGAATCTTGCAAAACGTCAATCGCGAGCTGATATTCTTTATCCACACACCATCAGACAGGCTGGGTCCGGCACAACATTCGAGCCATAGAGCTTGGCTGAAAGCCAGTGTCTACAGGTATCGTCGTCACCTCCAGCATTGGAGAATCGCTGAAATGCATGTGCGGCTCAGCCACATCACTATCAGAGTGCAACCTATGTGAACATGCAAGATGCTTCTGTATGACTCCCGAGATCACAGCTACCGCCGACACCTTGTGAGTGCCTGTGTATGACGGACCCACGTCCTGCCACCTTTTTCCCAGCAATCAACACAGGCTGACTAGCCGCCGAAACACTACCAACCTCCATGGCAACATGGCTTGACCCGACGACATGTGACATCTTCGGCTGCAGCAGGTCTGATGTGATTGCACCATGCCGCAAGCTTTCACAGTGTCACCCACGCCTGCTCCAGGAGCCTGGACTCCAACACGCTCAAATCACAAAGTGCGCGCAATTGACTCAAAAAAACCGTATGCGGCAATTGCCACACACCATCACAACCAGAAGACCCTGTGCATCCGTGACCCTGCTGCCTTGACGAATGAACCACCGCTTCCGTGTAAATGTTGCCACTCGGAACATCAATCTCACACCGCAGAGTAGAAAATTCTTTGCTATTCCACGATCCAATGACAACAGTGACCGATGACTGTATTGCCTCAAGCTTGCTGAGCTCGCGACATTACATTGAGCCTTGGCATCACAAACAACGACAGTGTGCAGATGCGATGCTAACCCAATGCTGTAACGAAGTGGTACTGCTCAGCTCAGGCCGCCGCACACACTTCGCGCCAGTGTGCGGACTTGAAATGACGCAGAGTTCATTTTGTGATTGTACAACCAATCATGTCTGACTTGACAACCGAGAAACCTACTCATGTCCGACACAACACCAGGTTGCATCTTCATGAGCTGAGGGTGCAATATGTCAACAGTCGTAAGGCCGGATCCTAAGATTGCAATACCTTTTACAAATGAACCTGTTTTGTTCACCTATATGATTGCTTGTCAATGCTGTTTGCCGGAAGCGCAGAAGTCTGAACCGACCGTCCTCCAGCATAAGCAACCATCACGAACACGGACAGGGGACTGCCAGGGTTTTGGCAGTCGGAAGCCCGAATGAACAGTCCAGCCAGCTGTTTGAAAGGCCGATAAAAAGCACGCAGGGCAACAGCTTCATAATAAAAAGCTTGGGAAACTGATGCTTGTCGAAGAAACGGCTCGTGGAGCAAACGGCTGGATGAAGGAGCATGCGTTTGACTTTCTTCCACAACTTAAACCGTGTTGAAAACCATCATTGGGATATTTTTGTCATATGATGTAAGATAAAACATAGATCTTCAATATACATGTTAAACAAATTGACTGGGCGGGTGAGCGCAAAAAACACACCTATGAGGCCCCTCAAATGCAAACTTCGCCATGACGCATGAAACACTATCAACGAAAAGGCCCGAAAGTAAAACAAAACCCTGTTGTTCAGGCAAACAATGTTGTTGGCAAAACAACAAGTTGAATGAAACCAAAATGGAAACAGGTATTTTTGAACGATGGCGCTATTTGGTTGTTGTTTGGAAAAGGCGGTTATCACATCAGGTGAACCGTCATTTTTCCAACACACAACTGGCGAGAAAAACGTTTGCATCACTCAAACATTCTTACACATGACCGAACATTAGGAAAGGAGCTCATGGTTGCAGGAGTACAATAGAGTAAACACGACAAGCAGATCAGTGTATAACGAATGGAACATTCAAGATCAATACAATCAATACAACATAACAATATATCGAAGACGTGATGTACAATGGTGAATATTTAACCTACAATTTGTGATATACACTACATTCATTAAAAAACATATAAACATACTAAAATATACTATACCGTGTTGTACTATACTTTACTATACCCGATTCAACTAAACTAAACTATATTGTACGATACGATATCACGTTGTGCTGCACTGTATTGGAGTATATACAATAATGAGGTGGGTGGCATAGCTGAAACAAACGATGTGCTAAAAACCCAAGGAAAACGCACATTCAGGCTAAGAAGCAATGCTGGGAAACGCACAGAATTCCTGTGACAGGTCGACCGTTCTCGGGAACATGGTGTTGGGAGTGCAGTAAGCACTTGTTGGCCGCTTTGCAAAGCGCTGCAGGACCTGCGTACAGCAAATGCCGAGTATCGTGGATGTTTCGGAAACATTGTTCGGGGTTTGGCGTTGCACTGTCGTCATCACCCCCCATTTCCCACCCACCAACCCCGCCACGGCCACCCAGATAGAGTGGAAGACGTAAAAGATATTGTACAATATAACTCAATATAACATTCCCTACTACAATATGTATCATATATGATATGTTTATGTGTGTATATATATACATGTATGTATGTACCATACGTACATACATATCAACCGTATATCCCATCTCATTTTTCATAGATCGCATGTGGCATAATAAATACCAATATCAGACATCATAACTCGCATATCACAGCCCATATAGCGTACGCATATCATGAATGAGAAACCCAAAAACCTACATCATCAAAAGTATGTCGTATACCATATACCACATATCAAAAACCACATGTCATTTATCACATATCATATGTCGTTTGTCACATGTCGAATATCATATACAAAACTTCAACTGTCATGTATCGAATATCATACGTCATATAACATATATCGTATATAATGTTTTGAAAATCCAGTATCATATATGATATACAATTTATCACAAATCTTATGTCGTATACCATACGTCATAAAACATTTATCCGTTATGATATAACATGTGTCATGTGTCATTTCCATATGTCATGTTTTATATAACATATGTCATATTTCATACTCCATATCATATACCATATATCAAAAAATCTAATGTCATATTTCAGTTGCCATATATCATTTAGCGTATAACATATATCATACGTCATAAATCATAAATCATATATCATATATCATATATCATAAACCACATATCATACATCATACATTCATCATGTATCATATATCAAAATCTTGCATCATGTACCATGTATCGTGTCACAGATATCAAATATCATATACCAGGTTTTCCTTTGCAAACTGAAACTTCGTGCGCTTTCTTCTTCTGTGGTTCCATTTCAAACATCTTTGGCTTCCAAGTTCCTTCTTTGCGCTGTTTCATGTTCCGTCAAAAGGTCGAGGCATTTAAAAATGATTAGCTGGAAGCAAAACTTGTATGTTCTGAAACAGCCCAAAATCTCCTTTGGCCAGTTTTGGCTCAAGTCTGGAAGTTACTCCGACATTACGCAAGACATGACTGCTTAGACTGTCAAGGAATTCAGGAATTTGCCTTGCAGGTGGTTATTCCCGCGAATCGCAAGTTTGTCATCAGCGTTAACCGGTAAGAAAAAATTAGCCTGGCAGAAACCTCATAAGCATTTTTTTTTGGCGTGAATGGGCCTCGTCGACCACAGCTGTAGTACTCAGTCCCTATAAAAACAGACTACAAACAAGCAACAAAAACAACAAAGCGGTAAGACCAAAAGCGAAGAACTGCAAGAGCTGCGGCGCACAGGCTTTGTAGAGCATTTGATAGTTCCCTTCATTGTACATTTCCTTCAAGCGTGAGTAGGAGTATTGGTGGTTGTCGTGGTTCTCCTAGGTATGGTATGAGTTGAGTGCTCCAGTCTGAACCAGGGCCGTGTGCCATCTGGTGACGGCAGTGCTCGGCTCTCCTCCTGGACTTTGGACTTTGGTGTGTTCGACCGTGACGAAATAAAGCACAGAGGCACGTTGTCTGACGAGACTAGTACGGCAGCTGGAGCTTGGTTTTGGCTCCACCTGTTGCTTTGGGCAGCTCGAAGCGTTGTTGCTTCTGATTGGTAGCGAGGCTCGTAGTTGGACTGAACGGCTAACATCTGAGTAACATTGCATCTCACAAGACGGACAGGTGGTATTCTTCCGCTCTGCATCCATAGTTCGATCGTGCTGGCTCGGCGGCTCATTCTTCTGGCTCGCGCTAACTTCTGCACACCAGGCTTCCCCCTCTTCCACACTCTTGCCTGGTCACTCGCACGGCTTCTTGGCTGTCGTTTACACTACCTCACCATGCTGAAGGTGGGTTTGCCGGACAACCACGGCCCAGAAGTGGTGGCCGACAAGCGTCCGCATCCTGCCACACACTGTGCAGGTTCTACATAGAAAACAAGCTTGGAGGGTGAAGAAGAGCCCTCGACAGTGTGGTCACCGAGCCTTCCACATAACAGCAACTCTCGCAGTGTTGGCGTTTCTTCCCTTCGGGGAAGGATTTCTGCAGCCGAAAGAAGCTGGTTTTGGTCAAGGGAACCGGCAGAATGGATGGTCGCTAATGCCTGCCGGGACTGGTAGACTTGAGTGGACAGACCGGTCAGTAAGCTGCACTTGAAAGCCTTCATGTGGATGGTGGAGCTTTTGCAAAACAGGCAAAGCTCCTTGGGGTGGTAACCCGCCTCTTGATGATGCCGAGACCTCTTGAGAGGCGCTGAGGCACCAAGCTATGGAGTAGAACTTGGGTCTTGCAGTCCTATGCATCGAAATTCCAGAGCGCCACAGGCGTTCTGGAAAAATAGAAGTGGGAGAGGTGTCAGTGCCCGAGTCGGCGACTCAAAACCGGCGAGAAATGGCCGTAACCTAGTATCGAGACAGACGATCCACGGCAAATCCTGTGGGGCCGGCAGTCAATTCCGCCAAACAACGCGCACAATCAGAGTGTAGA